TGTCTGTGTATCTGAGGTTGTTGATGTAGCTCCCGGCAAGCTTAACTGTGACTTGTGACTCCTCTAGCCTGGCCTTTCACATGATGTGCTCTGCATATAAGTTATATAGGAAAGGGGACAATATACAGCCTTGCCGAACTCCTTTCCCAATTTTGAACCAATCAGTAGTTCCATGTCCAGTTCCCACTGTTGTGTCTTGACCCGCATACAGGTTTCTCAAGAGACAAATAAGACGGTCTGGTACTCCCATCTCTTTAAGAACTTGCCACAATTTGTTGTGGTCCACACAATCAAAGGCTTTAGCATAGTCAATGAAGCAGAAGTAGATGTTTTTCTGGAACTCCCTAGCTTTCTCCTTGATCCAGTGTATGTTGGCAATCTGATCTCTAGTTAGTCTGTCTCTTTGACACCATGCCTGTACTTCTGGTAGTTCTCGCCTCACATACTGCTGGAGCCTAGCTTGTAGAATTTTGCGCATAACTTTGCTAGTATGTGAAATGAGTGCAATGGTGTGTAGTTTGAACATTCTTTGGCATTGCCCTTCTTTGGGATGGGAATGTAAAGTGACCTTTTCCAATCCTGTGACCACTGTTGAGTTTTCCAAGTTTGCTGGCATATTGAGTGAAGCACTTTTACTGCATTCTCTTTTAAGACTTTGAATAGCTCAGCTGGAATACTGTCGCCTCCCCAAGTTTTGTTGTTGCTCAGACTTCCTAAGGCACATTTGACTTCACATTCCAGGATGTCTGGCTCGAGGTCAGTGACCTCCCCATCGTGGTTATCAGGGACATTAAGCTCTTTCCTGTATAGTTCCTCTGTGCAATCTTGCCACCTCTTCTTAATCTCCTCTGGCTCTGTTAGGTTCCTGCCATTTTTGTCCTTTATCATGGCCATCTTTGCATGAAACGTTCCCTTCATATCTCCAATTTTCTTGAAGAGAACTCTGGTCCTCCCTATTCTATTGTTTTCTTCTTTTTCTTTGCCCTGTTCATTTAAGAAGG